TATCAAGAAACCGGTGAAACTTTAAGCTTCCAAGGAACCAAAGGAAGAAAGGTTTCAGTTCCACTTGCAAGAACTGGAAAAGGGAGAGGATGGAACAACATGAAGGATCTTAGTACCAACAGTATCCGGAATGATGCTCACAAAACTCCTGCGGGTAAAATTTTGAATTTTTTTGTGGACATTTTTCTTTTCATCCAGTGTTTTTATGGGGTTACCTCCCTCATGGTGAAGACCTGTAAGGATAAAATTGAGAAGTTGGGGGAGGTTTCCCCAAAGTTAACTGACAAATTTGTTTCAGAGAAGAAGGCTGTTGTTTGTTCAAAGCTTACATCGGCTTTGGCAGAACCAAAATTCATTCGATCAAGCGACAATAAGAAGATGGAAACGCTACTGTTGAAGTGTCTCGGGATTTCTTTTCAGGAACGCTTGTGCCAAACTTGGAGAGACGGAGGACTTTGGTGTATGACGAAGTACAAATCGGTGGCTAAAAAGATCAGGCCAATTAACGAAGCAATTCCGCAGGCTCTCAATCCACCACTTCAAAGACCAGCTCTTTCGAGGGATCCATACGAAACACCACTTACACCTAACCCACCGGAATTTGTACCAACTGAGAAGGTGACGGAAGAACGGCTTAAGATGGTGAACTTTGGACCAGAAGGATGGCTGTCAAGCGAGGAATTGAAGCTCTTCAAGAATTTAATTGTCATTAGAGAAAAGGCCATAGCTTTCTGTACTGGAGAAAGAGGACTTCTAAAACACTCTTACGGATTACCATACGTTATACCAGTAGTGGACCATAAACCATGGCAGAAGAAACCAATACCAATTCCGGCTGCAATTAAAGACGATTATGTAGAATTAGTCAGGGAACGAATAAGGACTGGGTTATATGAGCAATCAACTTCTAGTTATTCTAGTCCAGTTTTCTGTGTTGCCAAGGCGGATGGGAAATTACGAATAGTCCACGATCTTCAAGAAATGAATAAAGTCACGATTAAGGATGCTGGATTGCCTCCAGCTACGGAAGAATTTGTCGAATCATTTGCAGGACGTGCATGTTATGGTCTGGGTGATATCATGGGCGGATACGACGAACGCGAGTTAGCTCAAGAATCACGACCTTTAACCACCTTCGACACACCTTTGGGAAGATTTCAGCTTACCAGACTTCCTCAAGGGGCCACAAATTCAGTAGCAGTGTATCAAGCTCAGATGATGTGGATTCTTCAAGATGAAATTCCAGAACATGTAGGAGTTTTCATTGATGATGGAGGGATCAAAGGTCCAGCTAGTACATATAACAACGAAGTCTTAGAAGAAAATCCGGGGATCCGTCGGTTCATCTGGGAATACGCTATAACCTTGGAACGAGTTCTTTTCAGAATTGAGGAAGCAGGCCTTACGATTTCAGGAAAGAAGTTTGCTGTCTGTGTCCCAGCTTTGGACATTGTAGGTCACGTGGTCTGTAAGGAAGGACGGCGAGTTTCAGTTCAGAAGAAAAATAAAGTGAAGACGTGGCCAACTCCGCATAACATAACAGAATTACGGGGATTTCTGGGCATTGTCACTTACGTCAGAATATTTATCAAGAATCTCTCAGAAATTGCGGCGCCTCTCAGGAAACTCACGAGGAAAGATATAGACTGGGTCTGGGAAGAAAGCTGTAACAAGTCTTTTGAAAGATTGAAGGAGATTATTGGGGAAGAAATCACCTTGAAGAAGTTAGATTATTCAAAGGGCGCTGGATTTAATCAAACTAGCAGTGGACTCAAGTTTTATAGCCGCTGGAGCAGTACTTTTGCAGCAAGAATTAGAAACCGGATTGGACAGACCTGTGCTTTACGAATCAATTGTTTTCTCACCTGTGGAATCGAGATACTCTCAACCCAAATTGGAGCTCTGCGGGGTGGCAAGAATTTTGAAGAAGCTACAGATATATCTTTGGGGTCAACACTTTGAACTTCAAGTTGATGCACAATCCTTAATTCAGATGATCAACTCACCATCACTACCCAATGCACCTATGACTAGATGGGTGGCTTTTATTCAGTTATTTTCTTTTGACATAGTCCATAAGAAAGGAAGTACATTCACCCTGCCGGACGGATTATCCAGAAGACCAATCAGCGACGAAGAACCAGAATTTTACGAGGATCAAGAAGATTTTGACGAAGACGAACCAGTTATTAGAGCCTGTGTTCATATCAATGTATCCAATCTTTCATTTGAGCCTAAGGAATGGGAAGCTTCTGGATATTGGATGGACCTTAAGCGTTACTTAATGACTCTAAAACGACCAACGGGGATGGACCCAGAAGATTTCAGGAAATTAAAACAAAAATCAGTCAACTTTTTCATTCAAGACGGACGGCTTATGCGACGACATTCACCTCTTGGACAATTGGTCATTTCCAACCACGATTATCAGTGCAAATTACTCCAAGAAGTCCACGAGGATCTGGGACACAGAGGCCTGGAAGAAACTTATCAGAGACTGGTTTGCAGATTTTGGTGGCCAAGTCTTAAGAAGCAGGTCAAGCTGTGGGTTCAGAGTTGTGAAGCGTGTCAGAAAAGGGATTCTTTAATTCCTCGAGAAATCAGAAACCCTACCGGCGAAAGTAGCTTATTTGGACGAGTGGCGTTGGACGTTTGTCACATCAAGGCTGGAAGATATAAATATTTACTAGTGGCTCGAGATGATTTATCTGGTTGGGTGGAAGCTGCACCTCTAGAAAAATTGACTGCGGCAAAAATTGGAAAATTTCTTTTGGAGGAATGGGTCTATCAGTACGGCGCAATCAAGACGGTAACGGTAGACAATGGACCGGAATTCAAGAGTGAATTTATCAGTGCAGTCGAGAAAATTGGGGCCAAGTTCAAACCAACAACACCCTACTATCCTGAAGCAAATGGAATGATTGAAAGAGGCCATAAACCACTGAAGGATGCCTTGATCAAGATGTGCGGCGAATCTGGTGGGAAGTGGAGGGAATATTTACCATTAGTACTTTTTTCTGATAGAATTTCCACAAAAAGATCAACAGGTTACTCCCCATATGAATTAGTCTTTGGTCAAAAGTCTGTTCTTCCTGTGGACCTTGAAATGGACACCTATTTGGGAATTGATTGGATGGAAGTCAGTACAACAGCGGAATTATTGGAAGCCAGAACTCAGCAACTCGAAAGGAAAGAAGAACTCTTGGGAATAGCTTACCAGAAACTCCAAGACACTCGAGAATCCTCAGTCAGATTTTGGGATAGAAAAATGGCGGCTAGACTCCGGAATCCTTTGGCGCCTGGTGAAATGGTATTGACTTATAATAAAAGCTTAGAAGATCAGTGGGGTAAATTATTTGAAAACAGATGGAATGGCCCATTTAAAGTAAAAAAGCAGCTTGAAGGAGGATCTTATATTCTTGAAGAATTGGATGGTGTGAATTAAAAAGAGCTTATGCTGCCTCCCATATTAAGAGGTTTTATTCCAGAGGAAGGGACTTGTAGGAAATAAGGGCAGAT